CTTCCACGCATGCGCAGGACGCATACAGTGCCTGCGCGATCATCCAGGAGCAGCTGGAGCATCGCACAGACGCTAGTATGCATGCACACGGCACGCACATGCACGTGCGCACCGCCGCATGCGCGAGGACGCCGCCGGCCTCGTTCCAACCGAACCGGTTGGAACGGGGCGAGAAACCCACCCCTGGAATAAACATGGGACTAAGAAACTCCAGATAGCTTATGAATGAATGAGCAAACAAGGATACAATTTGCTTAAAGTTAGCTTTACAAAAGGGGAGTTAAAGTACAAGTGAGGGATGATGCTAAAGTCTGTTAGCTTACTTTAGAATATGGATGTTAATGTTTATACCCTGTATTTGCTCTGGGAGGCTGGGGGTGGGGTGGGGAGTTGGGTTTGTGGGGGGGGAGGGGAGGTATATATTTGTAAAATATAAAATTTTCAATAAAAAAAAGTCAGCTGGATAACTTTGGGCCAATACACTAGGAGACTGGGAGTTCTAGTCCTGCCTTAGCCATGAAAGCCAGCTGGGTGACCTTGGGCCAGTTACTCTCTCTCTCTCTCTCTCTCAACTCAACTCAACTCAGGGCTAATGTTGTGGGGAAATTGTGTTGATATGAAAGGTGTGGAGGAAGGTGTGTTGATACGTTTGCCACCTTGAGTTACTTCTAAAAATAATAAAGGTGAGATACAAACAAATAAATTACATCTGTGTGATACACATAAAAGGAATGGAGGGCTTTGATTTCAGTCTCAGTCACTATCTTTCCTTTTTCTGACCCCCCCTCTCTCTCCAGACACACCCCCCCCCCCCCGCTCAGATATGCCCTTTTGACCTTGGTTGGTAGCTGATGAGCTTTAGGTTGGTCCCTGTTTGGGTTTACGGGACATGATATGTTTCATTTGGTCTCACCTCCCTTTGTTCATCCAGGATCCTGTTTGCATTCTTTATCCCTTGCGTCGCTTGCTATTTTAACCGGGCATAAGTCTTACTAAACTGAATGGGCTTTGCTTTCGAACAGGAATGCACAGAATTTCATTCTTAACGTCCACACAGTGAAGATTTTATGCATAGCTCTCTGATGAACAATGGAGGATGTGCGCCACGACCTGGCAGGCGATCAAAATTGCAACAATAATAAAAGGAAGGAATTATTTTCGCACTGCAGGGTCATGTAGGAAGTTAGGACCCACCCCTCTCCTGGAAGAATGAAATACTCTAGGAAATATTAAAAAGGCAGAATATTATGTTTCCCTGGATGAGAAAAGGAGAAACATGTTTTAAAGACAAAGCAGCTCGCTGCTCCCCTCTTCAGCTCTAGCAAGATGGGATTAAGATATGGCCCTCGGGACATGATAGGATTAGCCCTCTACCCATCTGACCACATGGGACCTGGGAAGATTGCATCACCCAGCAAGGCTCAACCAAGCATGGGACTCAGGACAGCCTACAGAGTTGCCCCCGCATGGGACTCTGACAACCAATCAGAATAAAAGCTCAAATTCAAAAGCCCAGAGAGGGTATAAAACTCAGGAAATCTCAGCATCTCTTCCCTTTTCTCCCAGGACCTCAAATCATGTGGTCCTGTCCATCATCAATAAACTTCTTTCCAAGTAACTTCCATGAATCCAGTGTCTTTTCCCCCACTTGGAACTGAACCCAGATGGACATTTCTTCCAATAGAACAGTCAATGCATTACAAGACTCTTTGTTACATCGGAAGTTGAAATGTCTAAATTGAAGTCCACGCATCTTCAAGCTGCTAAGGTCGAGAAACATTTCTCCAGGGTCCACCATGAAAGGCACAGTTAGCTTATCTGTCCCATTTACAACAAGGCATTCTGGGTAAGGAAAACCAGCATTAGCATAGGAAGATTATAAATAACAGAATAACAGAGTTGAAAGGGACTTTGGAGGTCTTCTAGTCCAACCCCATGCTCAACCAGGAGACCCTTACCATTTCAGACAACTACCTGTCCAGTCTCCTTTTAAAAACCTCCAGTGATGGAGAACTCACAACTTATGGAGGCAAGCTATTCCATTGGTTTATTGGTCACACCATTAGTTGAGATTTCTCCTTAGTTCTAGATGGCTTCTGTCCTTGGTTAGTTTCAATCAATTGCTTGTTATCCTGTTTTCAGATTTTTTGGGAGAATAGGTTGCACCCTTTTTTTGTGTGACAACCTCTAAAATATTGGAAAACCGCTATCATGTCACTTCTGTCCTCTTCACTATATCCAATTCCTGTATCTGTTCTTCATATGTTTTAGTCTTCAGACCCCTAATCCTCTTTGTTGCTCTTCTCTACACTCTTTCTAGAGTCTCAACATCTTTTTTACATCGTGGTGACCAGAACTGGATGCAGTATTGCAAGTGTGGTCTTACTAAGGCTTTGTAAAGTGCTACTAGTGGCACCATGTTCAACTATTCTGCCTGTATTCTCAAGATGTATTTCCTATTGGCAATGTTGATGGAGAAATTATGGGGACGAAAATCCAATGTACCTGGAAGGCATATATTGCATTATTTAAGGTTAATATTCTTTTTAACTTGTAACAATGGAATATCCCTATTAAATATTGATGCTATTCAGATTGCACATTAATATTAAATTATAGCATCACCCATTGATCTATTGCATTCTGCAAAATTTAATTTCAATTAAGTCAATTTAAATGAAGCAAAACATAGACTAAGAATATACAGATGGTCAGGAGAAAAACCCACAATCCAACTTTTAGGGATATAAGGATATAAGTTCTCAGAAAGATGGCCAACCTACTAAGTTGCAGCAAAATTCACCAAGACCCTTATGTCAAAAGATCATCAAAGA